GAATAGGCTTCAGCGTTCCACGCGTTGAATCAGGCCACCACCCGCACTGCACTCGCCAAGATCGTGTCGTATTATAAGTTTGCGCGACAAGACCGAACGACTCGGCTGAACAACACCAATCCCGCCCGGAATGTCCTGGCGGTTTGCAGGATCATGATCACCTCATCGGGCCCGCTGGCAACGTTAGCCAACCAAATGGCGAATAATCGTCCACCACCCGCTGTAGGAATTTGACGACTTGGTTATCTTTGTCAGCAACCCAGTGCATGAATGCCTGCCCATTCGCGCTCTTGTTGTTCATCGACTCATCCTCATCTGTACTACCAACCATGCAGACCCGCGTACGATCTCTCAGTCTCACCCTTGCACTACTCGCACGCCTGCCTTCTGTGCTCATTTAACAAGCGTGCCTGGATGGACTTCCAACCCGGATGGAGACAGCAATGCAACCTGCGCGGACTGTGCCTCAGGATCGTTTTCTGTTAGTGAGCAGGAGTACCTTTTGAGTTCCGATCAGGCTGTCTCAGGATGGCCCTAGTGGAAGGCTCTAACTCCTGCACATCATACCCTGCCGGGACATAACGAGATCATATTCTTTCACTTGTCCCCTTCACAATCTCATGAATCCATCAGAGACCGGCTAGACTGGGTGCACGAATGCTTAGGCAGGCTACTTTGTTGCCGATACAGGCGCCACAGAACAGACCATCTGCCCCGCGGGGTCCTACAGCCCGATGGCGGAGTGCACCACTTGCCCGGCAGGGTCATCCTGACCTGCCGAGGGCGAGGCCGCGCCTCAATCGTGTCAGCTTGGGCAGTTCCAGGATCAGACCGGCCAGACAACATGTAACGATTGCGTGGTGAGTATCATATCCCTGGTAAAACGTGTCGATCATGATATGATCGCGTTACCGCAGAGCTCCTTCAGCGAGGTCTTCGGCGCAACGGCGTGTTGAACCTGCTGCTCTGGTTTATAACAGGACCAGACGGGACATACATTGGCCACATTCTGTCATGCCGAGGGAAGCTACGCACAAGGCTACTCTCACCCTGGCGCGGCGGACGTAGAGCCAGTGCATTGCGCGGGATGGCGCTGTGGCGACGTGTGACCAGGACACTTCTACCGGCACTTGTCGTAAGCATCTATACTGTCCACTCCTTCGAGACTATCGCTCATCGCCGCATACAGCCACTGCGACTGCTGATCCAGCCACTCTCACCGGAGTAACTCGCAAGGCTGCGCCCGAGCTCGGGCTCGTGTGTTCGCGATCAGAGCTCCTGCCCAGTTTAGAGGAATGGTCGCTAAGCACGTTTTAAGGAAATGCACAGTACTCATTCAGAAAGATAGGCAATTTTCGCCGTACGCACGGAACTACACTACGTGTATCAAGAAATACAGAAGTGCAGTATCGAACGATGCTAAAGTCGCCTTCGTAGAAGTAAACAAGATAGAAACAAAAAAGTGCAGCTTATGGAGGGTGCTCGTGAGCGTGGGCGTCAAATACCGAAACGTACACAGAGACCAGCACTTTCTCCAGTAAACGGCATCCTTACCGATAGTCGGAGGCTTTGAACGAGTCGCCGAGCCGCTGAGATGCTTAAAATGCAAAGAGTCAGCTGCAGCATCTCTCAGCAGTCCATCACTCACCGTTATGAGTCGCCTAGAAGTGGATAATCTCGGTTGGGCCGAAGTCGGCGCTGCCGTTGAAGATGGTGCTCGCGTGCGCCTCGAGATAGACTCCGTTGTCGTGAATGGTAATCACGACGCTCGCCTTGGCGAGGTAGACATCGATGCCCAACCTGGCACCCTGGCTCGGGCTGAACTTGGCAGTACCGAGGGAAATGCCTAAGATGGATGCGGTTACGCTTCCCTCGAGCTTATCAGTGTCGAACGCGATTGTGATGTCGAGAGGACCGAGGTTGAAGGTCTTAGAGATGACGGCGGCGATCTCGATGGTGGTGACGGTGTGGCGATAAAGCAGGCCGTCGATGGAGCGCTTGTAATTGTCGATCTGGGCGTGCTGATCGCCGGCGTCCTTGTCGGTGAGCGAAAGGCGGGAGAGGCCGCCCGACAGGCTGGAGGTGAAGACGACCTTCGCCAAAGCCTCCGAAGTGACTATGACGTTCGGAGCCGGGTCCTCGGTGGACTCCGCGGTAAGACCCTGAGGAGGGCGCTCGCCGTCCAATGTCGTGAAATTTTCCACCTTGCCGTCGAGGCGAAGAACGTGCAGGGTGAGCGCCTTGCCATCTTGAACGATGGACACGATGTCGCCCGGGTTGGTGCTGATTTCGCCGGAGAAGCGGTAGACGAAGCCCCTCTGCAGGATCCAATCCTTCCTGCCGGTGACGACCGTCTGGCTATCACGCTGGATGAACGTCGAAGACCACCCCCCCACGTTGTGAAGGGAGAGGTCGCCGCTGGAGCGGTTGGCAACAGTGGTCTCGTTGAGCAGCAATAAAGCGGCCATGATCGGTGGTTCTAGTCAGACGGGGGATGTGAGCTACGCGGCATGGCAGATTCTG